CTCACGTAAAAGGAAAGTTAACGACATGTCGGTTGGTTGTTTGATGCACACAGCTAGCTCTGCTCTCCACGCAGATGGAGCCAAGCGAGAACGGGACCAGGCTGTCTCCTCTCGCGGGAGCGCCTGCATTTCCCCTCGTAACTCAGTTGGGCGCGAGGTGGTCGGGCCGAGGAGCTGCCAGCATGAAGCGAAGATAAGATGAACACTGGTTTCTGTTTGTAAAAATAAGCAACTTTTCAGTTAACACCTTCAGAGGCAGAAAGTTAAAACTGGAAGTTGGTCAGAAAAGCCACGATCCAGTTTTGACAAACTTTTTTCTGGTCCAGTTTTGCTGCAGATGTTCTTTTTTTCTTTTAATTTATTCGCCAGGTTTGGGGACACGCTGGCTATATTTAAAAAGCTCAACTAACCTGCTACAAACTGCCCCCTGCGTGGGCAGGGCTCTTGGGCATGAGGCGCGCTGACCCGCGTGGCTGACGAGGCGTTGGGTGAAATGGTGGGGTGCAGTGGGGTTCTCACCTGGGAAATATGGGGGACACCTGGAGGGGCATGATGACCGAGGTGAGGCGGGACATGGGTGGCTAAAGATCCCACCCGGGGAGGAATCGGCTCTGCCCCCAATGCCACCTGTGCCCAGTGAGATACACCAACCTAAAATAATCTGCCTGGTGAAGCTTAAATCCTAACCCACCTACTGTCCTACAGCCTCCGCCTGCGAGAGGAGGGAGGCCTCCAATGCAATCACTCACTCACTCACTCACTCATTCATTCACTCACTCATTCATTCACTCACTCATTCATTCATTCATTCACTCTCATTCACACATGCATCCATTCATTCACTCATTTACTTGCTCACTCATTCATTAGTTCACTCATTCATTCATTCACTCATTTGTTCATCCACCATTCACTTATTCACTCACTCATTCATTTATTCACTCACTCACTCCATTCATTCACTTGCTCACTCATTCCTTCATTCATTCACTCGCTCACTCATTCCTTCATTCATTCATTCGCTCACTCACTCCATATCCCTCACCATCATTTACATCCCACCTACGCCTCCATCCCCTGAGCTGCTCTGGGACTTCAGCACCATCCGAGGGCCCTTCTCCAGCTCGTCCTGCTCACCTGCCCCTCTTTTTGCTCCCTTTTCCAGGGGCTTTCCCACCATTTTTCTTTCTAGACCTTTTCCCTAAATCAGGCAACTCATTCGCCTCCTTCCTTGCCCCTCCTCTACACCATCCTGCCCACTTCTCCTGCAGGTCCCTGGCGCACGCACTCATGGATTTAACGTCAGTGCCAACACTCACAGCCTCTGTGAAGGTCCGACTTGCGCCGGTCGCCACCGACCATCGAGGGGAGGCAACGCAAAACCTAACATTTGCTTTAAGTGCGAAGTGTGAGCCTGTTCCACCACAGCCTGTTTCCAAAAGCTGAGGGACTTACTGGTTAGCAACATACTTTTTCTGAACACCAGGTCCCAGTTTTTGGAAATTCAGGACAATGGGCGCCTCTCCACCTGGAATGGCCTGGCGTGGCTACGTCCAGGTGCCCCCACCTGCGGCCTCCACCAGGCGTCACAGCGTGGGAAAGGGCTGCAGGAGCTGCCGCCCAAACCATTGGCCCTTCAGCCTGAAGAGGAGCAGCCCTGCCGGTGCTTCTCGGGGGGTGGGGGGTGGGGGGCGAATAAGAATCCAACCCAGATGGGTCCCGTCCTGAGGTCCAGCAGCCAGGCCCGCGGCGGCCCCAGAGCGCCCCCCTGCACCCCGAGCTGCTGCAGCTCCGCTCAGATGCCGCCAGATAACGCCCAGCTCCGGCTTATCAGCTCGGGCGATGCGGGCAGATAGCAGCACTTCCTGCAACTGCTGAGGAGATAGCGCATCCGCTCTACCAGCTGCCCGCCTCCAGGCAGCCCAGCCCAGCTTCTCCCTCCACCTTCCACAGTGGAGACCGGCCACCCCTCCCCCAGGTTGTCGCCGCAGCCTGCCCCCACCCTCAGCAAGGCCTCCGTATCCTGTCAGAAACCTTACGACGAAGGTGAGATCTGACACTGAGTAACCAACTACACATACAGGAAACCCTCTTGCCATGCCCCTTCTGTCCTCCAACTCAGATCCGGTGAAGGCCTTTTTACTTAGAATTCTTGGAGCAAAAAAGAAAATTTGTTTTTCCACACTTAACCATTTCTCTGGATTCCAATGAGGGGGGAAAAATAAAGATTTCTTTCGACTTTTCTGGAGTTTTTTTCCATCTTGGCCAGGGTGAGTGAAACCCTGGTCCAGCTCCTGGAAGGGGAGGACCGGGTGAGCTCACCGCTCCGAGAAGCCACCTGCTCCCACCGCGGTGGATTCGGCTGCGGGGAGGAGGCCCAACGTGAGCTGGGCCCAGCGCAGGCGGGTGCTGGGCGGCAGAGGCCAGCGGAGCGTGTCCTAGAGACAAACCCGGGGTCCCCGTCTGTTCACACTCTCGCCCACCCTCGCTCCCGCCTCCCAGGAGGAATGGCTGCCCCAGGTCCGGTCCTCTGGGCAGGAAACCAACTCCCCTCCCTTCTGCTCTCACTGCTCAGCGTGTCTGCGGGTCTCCCTCAGGGCGCAGCTGGGTGGGCGCCCTGCTCTTGAGCCTCCCTATCTCTGCTCCAGCCCTGGCACTCGGGGGCGGGGCCTCCCCAGCCCCAGCCCCAGCCCCTCCTCTCCGAGGGGACAGGCACCTCCGAGCAGGGGGTCGCCACAGCCTTGGGAGCCCAGGGTCCTTGCTCACGGATAGGACCTGGATCGTTTTGTTAAAATCAACGCGTCCCTCTTCTGTCCAGGTGTCCACATGCCCTGCTCCCCTCCCCTCTCTCGGTGAGGCCGCTCTGGGCTCCGCTACCCTCTTCATAAGCCATCCGTTCCACCTGTTCCGTCTGCCTAAGCTGCCATCTTCTCTGCCCTGCCCTGCCCTGTCCCTCTGTCAGTCCGTCCCGTCCCTCTGTCTGTGCTACTCTGTCAGCAGCTCAGCTTGCTGCTCCCTTCATCCACCCTGCGCGGTTCTGGGGACGTGTCTGCTGAGGAGATAAGCAGGCTCAGCTGCCGCCGCCACTTTAAATGAGGAACCCGAGGCCCGGCAGGCCAGAGAGGGGCTCGGACT